ATTATAAATAAGATGTGGATACAATTAAAATGGCATCGCCTAACATAGTTTAGTATACAATTTTGACTAAAAATTCGTAAGCCAAAGCAGAATGATTTACAAACGCTTACATGCCTTGTGGATTTCAAATGTTTTGTTGATATTGGTTGGTACTTGTTTTGCTAGTGGTTATAAAAAAAAATAATGGTACATACTATTTTGCTTCTTGTAGTCATGGTTCAATGTTGTGATGCTACTTTAGAAAACCTCCCCAATTTCATAATGTTTGTGTTTACGTGTTGCATTCCATTATGCTTGTTGATTTTATTTTATTTAAAGACACGCTTAATTTTTTTTTAATTTGCTTCCTTTTTTACAATGATGGCCAACCAGAAAAGTGTGAGGCCCTACTTGGGTCACCTAATATACCATTCCCATCACACGATTAACAAGAAATTGACATTGGAGCTTTTCAAAAGCAAGTAGAATAAAATGCCACTAAGAAAAAAAGAATCTAAATGGATTCATAATGCTTTTGACACACATATCAACTCTATATATCAACTCTATATCAAAAAAGGTTCATGTTATATATGAAAAAAAGGATAAAGCAACTACATGAGTGATGAGACGACCCACATAATGTCGGGAATATTTTTACTCTAATTGTGGCCATTATATAAAAAGGTAATCAACGATGTTTAATTTATAAAGAAGCAAACCACTTAAAGATACCTTTTTCACCATTGCAATACTAGAAATCAGTTGGCCGTCTTCTCAACAAACCATTATTATAACCACAAAAAAAAAAAAAAAAAGAAATATGAACAACGAGGTCTGAGATAAGAGAGAGTCAATATTCATAATTTTCTCAAGCTAACCCCACTTCTTAAAATTCGGACAATTTTATGCGTACAACTGGCCTAGAAATAACATTAATTTTAAAAAAAATGGAAAGGAGATGAGAATGAAATTTAAAATGTAAAATGGAATAAAACTGAAAGGAAGAAGATTTGTGGTTTTTAAATGGTATAAAAGTATTTATAATGATATAAAAGAGAAAAAAAATAGAAAAAAATAATTGAAAATGTAACCATTGGAATGGATTCCACAAACCGCATTAACCTTCTTCTAACGGTACCCAATACACTCAAATCTTTCTCGGCGGTACCGCTCGCCTCCCACCGGAGCCCGCTTCTGATACCCTCCATCCTAATAAATATCTTTATTATCTTTAAGTTTTAGATATCATAATAAGTATAACTACTTTGGGTTGCCATAATCAATATAAATTATTTTCTATAAAATTCCCATAGTTAATCATTATTTTGTTGAAGTTTACTTTGTCTTTATGAATTATGAATATGATTACTTTATTGAATTTGCCATAAATATCAATTTTTTTTTCTAAATATCTACCTTGTCTTAATAAATATCATTACGACTCTTCCATAATAAATTAACTTTATAATACAATAAATATCATTAAGAAAATTTCTTTAATAAATATCATGTAAAAAAGAATTGAAAAAAAAAGAGCTACACCAAAATGCTGAATCTTCATATGGATATGTGAATACATCAGCTAGGTTATAAAGTGTCACAGTTCAAACTTAAAACTAAACACAAAACCATGTTGGTAAATTAAAGTTCAAGGATAGGTTAAATACCCTAATTACCCATTTGAAAAATTCAAAATACTTAACTAGTTTAAGTATTTTAAACGAACGAAAACTAATTAAATCATAATACGATTTAATTGTAAGTTAGAGACAATATTCATATAAGACTAAACTGCACAAATGGTCCTTGTGGTATGTCAAAAATTGCCACTTTGGTCCAAAAAGATTTGGACTAGCACCGGTGGTCCAAAACCTTCATTTTGTTGCGTCTTTAGTCCAATCTATTATGATTATTTTCAAAATGACGGATTTGCCCCTGGTAATATGATTTTTTTTCTTATTTGTTTTTCTGATTTAAAAAAAAACAAGAAAATAAAAATAAAAATAAATTTCTCTCTCTCTCTAAAACAAGAAAATAAAAATAAATCTCTCTCTCTCTCTCTCTCTCTCTCTCCCCTTCTCTCTCTCTCTCTCTTGTTGAAATCCATCCCCCTCTACTCTGTACCTTATTTCTTTTTCCCCACCAAAGAAACCTCCACCATCCACCAAAAACCACCGATTGCCACCTCTGGCAGCCATCCTCGCCAATTTCTGCATCAACAGGCACAACCCACAACTTCATCTTCTCCGGTCATATTACATCTAAGGAGATGAGTGTGTCTCACATCCATCGTAACCACTATTCAGGAGACCAAACTCACTCACATTCATCACCATACTAGCCACAAGAAACCACCACCTAAAATGAAACCAGCACCTGGTCAGAGATAGGAAACAGGGGAGTAGAGGGTGGTGGGCAAACCCTAAATCGTCGAGTGACTACTTCAACAAGCCGAACCCGCTATCATAGCAGCAATGGCGGAGAAGAAGGGAAAACCCTAGCAGGATCCGACGAAGAAAGAGAAACAAAGGTTTGGGAAAATTGCGCACAGGCAAGATCGATTTACAGCGCCATCCCCATTCTCGGTTCGTCTTCTCCATCGATTAAGATCTGTTCGTCCTCGTCCTCGTTCTCGTTTGGAAAAATTGCGCACAGTCGAACTCGCTATCGATTTTTCAGATCTATTCACGCCACCCCATTCTCGCTTCGTCCTCGTTGCTGCCCTTGCTGCCTCCTGTTTTGCTTTCCTTCCGGTGAGAACGAAGTAAAGGGAAGGGAGTTGGGTTGGGTTTGATCGGTAAAGGCAGTGGGGGAGTAGTGGGTGATGGGCAGCTGCGGTGGTGACGTGGTGGAGCAAGGTGGTCCTCAGTGGTGTTGGGGTATTTCTTGGTGTCGCCGGTGGTCAGGGAATGAAGCAACAACGAGGGGTGTTTGGATGGTGTTTCTCCGGTGAGTGGGTGATGGAGGCTGCTTCCTCCTTTTGGATTTCATAAAAAAAAAACAAAGTGGTCGTTTATGAGAGAGAGAGAGAGAGTGTGTGTGTGTGTTTTGTCTTTTTTTTTAAATTTTTTTATTTTTTAATCAATCAAATATTTAAATAAATAAATAAAATATAAAAAGGAAAAGATAAGGGTAAAATCGTCATTATAAAAAAGTTTAAAGCAAATTGGATTAAACTTGCAACAAAATGAAAAGTTTGAACCTCCGGAGCTAGTCCAAACATTTTTGGACCAAAGTGACAATTTTCAACTAACCACAAGGACCATTTGTGTAGTTTTGTCTTCATATAATTCATAATTTGAACTATGAACCAAAAACATAATTCAAACATTTATCTAATATACATTCTCATTTTATAAACCCTTATTTCATTCATATGAAATATAAATTTCATGTTTATAAAATATAAATTATAAGCTAATTTATTTATCAAAGTGATAAATTAGACTACAATATTTATGAACTAATTTTATAATGGAAATCTACTTATACTAAGAAAAATCAAGAATCTATGCATGAAACTTTATAAAATAAACCAATTATTTGGATTTTTTATTTAGCCAATAGCAGGACGTTTAATTGGAATTGCACCAGGTATACATTAGATCAAAGATATAAAATCCAAAATTTTTTTGTAACTTTTGGGGAGATGTTGAAGGGTAACACGTGCTATCCCTACCAACTAACTACATCCGACATTGATAGTAGGTGGTGGTTGACGGTACGTTGGGTGGGATGGGGTTGGGGCTTCACATATGATAGAGGAGAGGAAACATAACAAAAGAAGTTCAAAAAAGTCTTTTTATAGTTGAACTTAAATGAAATGTTCAAAAGTTTTGGTAAAAAGGACTACCGATGCAAGAAAATGATACCATAAGGATTGGTGTTGTATCGTTTTTAAAATTTGGCCTCAAAGTGGAAATTTCACTAAACCACAAGGACCATATTTTTAATTTTATCTTCCGTTCTAAAAAAAGAATAAAAAAAGAAATTCAAAAGAAGCCAAACCGTGTTTCTTTTTTGTTTATACTCTCTCGCCATCTCCCTTCGTTCCTCATCGACTCACCGTTTGCCTGCTGACTTACTGCTCATCTTGCTCGGCCTTTGTCTCTGTTCATTTTTCCTCTGTTATCGACGCTTCAGGTTTATGTAAACTCTGCTCATCCTTACAAGTTAGTTTTGCTTGTCTAAGAATTTCACTTATCAATCACAGATCACATGATAATCATTTCAATTTTTATAAACAGGTGATTAAAATTTTGTTTATTTCAGCTACTTTTTTTAGTTTACATCAGTTACACTGTTCTTGCTTGAAGTCCAGAGTGATAAACAAAACTTTGCGCAGACGGGAAGATTCTCCAATTCTCGAAATTTTTTTCCTTAATCACTTTATATTTTGAGTTCATAAACACCATCTTTTACGTTTGATTCTTTTTTGAATGATGTTATCTGCTCCTTAATTGTAAGCTAAACACTCAAAATCAACAAGCTTCAATATTTGATTGTCATAATTCTACATTGCCTTGTTCAAAACTCGTGGATCTGTCAAAGCCAGATTGTAAGACATCCGGGTGTTATTCTGCTTGAGTCAAAATTAGGATTTTGCTAGTGCATAATCTAGATCCTGAACCAAATAAGTAATGCCCTTTCTGTTTGAAAATAAGCTGGATTTAATTTATGTTTCGAGGCACAAAACTGATAAGAGATTTCTTGCATAACGAACAGTGTCTTAAAGCATTAGTAGACAAAAAGATTCAAAGCACTAGAATCCCCACTCAATAGTTTTGTTAGGGAGTTCATAATCTTCATTTAAAGTTACTTCTTAATAAGTAATAACTCACATGGCAATATAGTTTTATTTTACATCAATACTTTGCTATTAGCAGATGAGATTTAAGTTGCATATTGTAATCAATAATTTGATATTGTGCATAGGGATTTTATATGGGTCCTGACATTAAAGCACAAGTGAAGAAAGCCGGTGAAACCAACTTTTATAACTAATAACATAATATATTATGGTGGTTCTATCTGAACTTCCAGAAGGATCTTCATCTTCTTCATCACCTCATGGTTATAGTTCATCAGCTCATGTTCCTACTTCATCAACTCATGGTTATAACTCATCAACTCATAATCATAGATATGACGTATTTTTAAGTTTTAGAGGTGTTGACACTCGTCATAGTTTCACTGATCACCTTCATAAGGCCCTCATTCATGCCAACATAACTACCTTCTTGGATGATGAAGAGATCGACACAGGGGAGGATCTGAAACCGGAACTAGACAGTGCGATTAAGGCATCTCAGGCTTCTATTATTGTGCTGTCTAAGAATTATGCTTCTTCAACATGGTGCCTGGATGAATTGGTGCTGATCCTTGAGCAGCATATGACATCCAACCATATTGTCATCCCAATATTTTATCATGTGGAGCCCACACATGTCAGGAAGCAACAAAGTAGCTTTGGAGATGCAATGGCTAAGCATAAACAGACAATGGAGGCAGAGACAAATGCAAATAAAAGAAGTCAATGGGCTCAAAAGATGGACCGATGGAACAAAGCGCTTACTCAAGTTGCTGATTTAAAAGGGAATGAGATAAATGGCAGGTAACCACTTTCTTACCCTTATTCGTCTCCCTATGCATTTCAATAAGTTTTTCTAAATCATTAAATAGACATATATCTGATGTTTTAGGATATATAGAAAATGAACATAATTGAAAATAAGTTCTCAAGTATGTGTTCTCATAAACCAGTTCGTATAGATGGATTAGCCATTCTGATAATTTTTACATGTTTGTTATGCATTTTGTATTTTATCATTAGTTAGTACATTTAGATAAACCTTCTCCACGATTTTTACATGCTTTTTATTTAAAAACCAAAGTTTGATGGGTTTGCTATGCTTCTACTATTAATTATATCATACTGCCTTCAAATCATAGCGGTTTTAATGATAAATAACTGCTTTTAGTTGTATCTATTAAAAAATAACCCATAACTATTTCATGGCATTTTGTTCAAATCCATGTAAAGCCACATCGATGGTTAAGTTTGATGGTCTTGTAGAAACATAGTGAAATCTTGTATTTCGTTGGTTGCTTTGGTCTTATCATAAACTAATATTTATGACCCTCTCCATTAGCGAAATCTTGTATTTCATGGTATTTTGTTCAAATTGATGTGAGAACTCAATTAATAATAGTAGCAGTGATATAATCTTAGTTAGGATCTTTGAATAAATTAAATCTCCCAATCTGGTTCATTAGTTTTGTAGATTGTGTTCTGAAATTCTTATATAATCAAGTTTCAGGTTGGAGACAGTGTTTATTGAAGAAATTGTGAAGGACATCCACCGTAGATTACATGTACACTTAAGGAGCGTTCGGCCACAACTTATTGGGATGAAGTATCATATTAACTTTGTAACTTCATGGTTGAAAGATGGATCCTCGCATACAGCAGACATACTTACTATTTATGGTATAGGCGGGACCGGGAAGACATCTTTAGCCAAACATGTCTATGGGCTATATTCTCATGAATTCCACACAAGCAGCTATATTGAAGATATCACCAGGAAATGTGATGGGAAGTTTAATGGGTTGCTTGATTTACAAGAACAACTCTGCTATGACATTTCAAAAACAAGTTCAATTAAAGCTCATGCTGTTTCAGTATACACCGCAAAGATAGAGAATGCACTAGCACGTAAAAGGGTGTTTCTAGTTCTTGATGATATCAGTACCCTTGTTCAGTTGGATGCACTACTTGGAAGCAAAGGCTTTCATCCTGGAAGCAAAGTTATAATTACAACAAAGGACAATTGGTTGACTCAGAGTTGTTCTTTATTTAAAACAAACATTAAACCCAAGCATGAAAGGCATTTGCTTCGAGGCTTAGATTATTTTGCATCGCAACAACTTTTGTGTTCCCATGTATTCATGTGCAACCAACCCAAGGCGGGATATGAAGAGATGTCTGATAAGCTTGTGAAGTATTGTGAAGGACATCCATTGGCTCTTGAAATTTTGGGAAAGTCTCTACATAATCGAGATGTAGCTTATTGGGAAGGGTGCATCGAAGGGCTAAGGAATGAAATTAGTTCCCCTATCAATAATGTCTTGAAAATGAGCTTCGATTCCTTGCCATCAAAAAACGATAAGGAGTTGTTTAAGCATATTGCTTGTTTTTTTGTTGGACTAGACAAAGATGTTACCGCAACAATATTAGAGGCATGTGATATAAACACAAGATCCGGGATCACGAATCTCATTGACAGATGCCTTCTTAGTATAGGACGAAATAATGAATTGACGATGCATCAGTTGGTTCAAGAGATGGGAAGATTCGAAGTACGCCAAGAATCACTTGACAAGCCATGGAAGCGAAGTCGATTATGGTGTCATAAGGAGTCATTCAAAGTGTTGAAACAAAAGAAAGTAAGAGGTCATGCATGCTTTTAGTAGTGTGTGTGTGTATGTTTGATATTTTGTATTGCCTAATTTATTTATTTGCATTATGTTTCTTATTAGGGTAAGGGAAATCTTCTAGGCCTCACCATTGACATGTGCATGCTTGAGAAAGAGAAGTTAGGTGTATCATATGAGCTGAAAATAGATGCATTAAGTAACATGGATAATTTGATGCTACTACAACTCAATTATGTGCGAATGGATGGGTCTTATAAGAATTTTCCAGAAGAAATAAGATGGTTGTGTATGCATGGGTTTCGTTTAAAGTCTATACCTTTAGACTTACCGATGATGAATTTGGTTGCTCTTGACATGTCATATAGCAATATTGAATCATTTGTCGGTTGTTATAATAATCCACAATGGCTTGAGAAGAGGCAAAATGTAAGCTATCTTCATTTATTATTCATCCATATTGAGTTGATGTAGTTCTCTACTGTTCTAACTTATTTCCATTTTTGTAGTTTGATGGATCGTTCTTAAAAGAGAAAAGGTTGCTTGGATCATTGAAGATTCTTAATTTAAGTTTTTGTAAACAACTCCGTAGTCTTGGTGATTTTGACCAACTTCCTGCACTTGAGAGGTTAACAGTTAGAAATTGTATTGGTTTGCTCGAGATATGTGAATCAATCGATCAATGTGTTGAACTTGTCTTCATCGATTTGAGCTATTGCAAGAAGCTTGAAAAACTTCCAAGAAACATAGGCATGCTGAAGAATGTTAAAACAATGTTGCTAGATCGTTGCAGTCCTGGTGGATCTCCAATCCAGAATTGGGATATGGAATTGGGCAAGGCTAACAAAATTGACATAAATACAAAAACCTTTTCCCCTGCCTTTGTGGGTGCCATACCAAGTGATTTGAAGTTGTTTGCAAGTTCTTTACCGAGTTCTCTAGTAAGTTTGTCAATTGCAAATAGTAATTTGTCCACTAAATCCTTTCCCATGGACTGGAGTTGCCTATCCATGTTAATGGAATTATATTTAGATGGCAATCCTATAAATTCCATGCCCAGTTGTGTGAGAACCCTTCCTAGGCTTGAGATACTTGCTATGAGGGACTGCAATAAATTGAAGTTAATTGAGCATCCTGTTGGGCTAGTGAAGCCATAAATGACAAAGTTTAAGGGCCAATATTGTAACTTGACAAATTAAACAATTGAATTGTTTAATATTTGTTTATTGGACGCAAATGGACGCACTATCAAACTTTCGGTGGAATTGTTTAATGGACAAACGACTTTCGGTGCAATTGTTTAATGAACAAACGACGCACTATCACAATTGTGATTTTATCAATTCACATATGTGTGAATGGAAGAAAAAAGGTTACGGCTCAAACAATCTATAAATATTCATTATCTTCATTCGTAGCACAACACACAACAACAAATACTCAAGTTTATATATATACACAGAAAAGAAATTAGTGAGATATTATTTTTGTGCATAGCCTTAATTTTTGGCAGCCAAAAATTACGAGTGATATCTTACAGTGAGTGATCAGATTAGAAGGGCAGATTTTAGCCTTGTATGATTGTAATTTTCTTTAGTGTTAATAAAATCCCCTCTCTCTCGTTCGCCCGTGGATGTAGGTCAGATTAGACCGAACCACGTTAAATATCGTGTTCAATTTCGTTTGCAATTTTTCAGTAGTTTTATTCCACGAGTTTTGCCGAAATCATTTATCAATTTTTCAGAAGTGCTTAACTTGTTTTGTTGCATTCCCAACAAACTGGTATCAGAGCTATGGCTGAAGATGGGAAAGTTAAGATCGAAAAATTTGATGGTCAAGATTTCGGTTTCTGGAAAATACAAATTGAAGATTATCTCTACCAGAAGAAGTTACACCAACCTTTGTCCAAAGACAAACCCGAAGAGATGACGCAGGAGGAGTGGGACTTATTAGATCGGCAGGCACTCGGAGTGATAAGGTTATCATTGACAAAGAATGTAGCTTACAATATTGTCAATGTGAAGACAACCTACAATCTGATAAATGCGCTGTCTAATATGTACGAAAAACCTTCAGCGGCAAATAAGGTTTTCTTGATCCGGCAACTTGTAAATCTGAAGATGAAGGAAGGTAGCTCAGTGACAGACCACGTGAACGAATTCAACTCAATAATATCAAGATTGATATCTGTTGATATTGGATTTGAAGATGAGGTCATGACGTTGCTACTATTATCATCGTTACCCGATAGTTGGTCCGGCACAGTAACGGCCGTTAGCAGTTCAGCCGGAGGTGCCAGGCTATCATTCGAAGGTATTCGCGATTTAATCCTTGGTGAGGATGTGCGCAGAAGAAGTGCCGGAGAAGCTTCCAGTAGTCTTCTAAGTACTGAAGATAGAGGAAGAAAGACCAACAGAGGAGGTGGTGGTAGAGGAAGATCGCAGTCAAGAAAGAGAGGTCAATCGAAGAACAGGAAAGATATTACCTGTTGGAACTGTAATGAGAAAGGTCATTTCAGAAATCAGTGCCCAAAGCCTTCGGCAAAAAAAGGCAAGAAGGAAGTAAATATGGCAGCAGATTCTGAAGATGATGCACTCATTTGTTGTGTTGAAAACTCAACTGAATCCTGGATCATGGATTCTGGTGCGTCGTTTCATGCTAGTCATTCCAGAGAAGTAATGCATAATTTTAAGCAGTACAAAGGAAAAGTCAGATTAGCAGATAACAAGAGCCTGGATATTACTGGAGTTGGGGATGCGATCCTCAAGACAACTTTGGGTACGAAGTGGACTTTGAAGAATGTCAAGTTCATTCCAGACTTGAAAAGGATGTTAATATATGTGGGGCAGCTTGATGATGAAGGTCACCATGTTACATTTGGTGATCATCAGTGGAAAGTGACAAAGGGAAACTTAGTTGTTGCTAGAGGTCAGAAGCGGGGTACACTTTATATGGTGGAAGTTTCTGATGCTGAAGCACATGCTGTTGAAGAAGTTGGGGCACCTACTCTATGGCACCAAAAACTTGGCCATATGAGTGAGAAAGGAATGAAGATGCTAGCCTCCAAAGGAAGAATACCAGATCTAAAGACTGTAACAGTTGATTTCTGTGAGCCATGTGTTCTTGGTAAACAGAAGAAAGTTACTTTCATGAAGACTGGTCGTCCACCCAAGTCCGGGAAGTTGGAGCTAGTACATTCAGATGTTTATGGTCCCACTACAGTTTCTTCAGTGGGAGGATCCCGATATTATGTTACTTTCATTGACGACTGCACAAGGAAAGTTTGGGTTTATTTCTTGAAGCATAAGTCTGAAGTTTTCAGCACATTCAAGAAATGGAAAGCTATTGTAGAGAATGAAACAAACTTGAAAATCAAGTGTTTCAGATCAGACAATGGGGGCGAATACAGTAGCAAAGAATTTGTTGATTATTGTGCTGATCAAGGAATCAGAATGCAGAAGACGGTTCCGGAGACACCTCAGCAAAATGGAGTAGCTGAGAGGATGAACCGAACATTGAACGAGAGGGCTAAAAGCATGAGACTGCATGCAGGTTTACCCAAGATGTTCTGGGCAGATTCGGTCAACACAGCTACATATTTAATCAATAGAGGACCCTCAGTTCCCATAGGGTTCAAGATTCCAGAAGAGGAATGGCAAGGTCGGGAGATTTCGCTCAAACACTTGAAGGTATTTGGTTGTGTCTCGTATGTTAAAGTTAAAGACTCGGAGAGAGACAAGCTAGAGGCAAAGGCAAGGAAGTGCACCTTTATAGGTTACGGGTTGGATGCCATGGGGTACCGCTTCTGGGATAATGAGAATAAGAAGGTTATCAGAAGTCGGGATGTGGTGTTCAACGAGAATGCTTTATACAAGGATGAACTTGCAAAGAGCTCCAATGGTGACAAACAACCAGAAAAGAAGGATCAAGTTGAGTTAGAAGAAATCTCAGACGATGACGTTGTAAAACCTATTAGTACTCCAGAGATAGGTGAAAGTTCAGGAAGCAGTGGGAGCTCTGATGTATCTGGAGATAGTGGGAGCACGGTGGATAGTAGTTCAGAAGATGAGGTTGCAAATGATGCAGAAACCGAAACTCCTATTATCCGTAGATCCACTAGAGTACGAAGACCTCCAGTCAGGTATTCTCCTTCATCTAATTACTTGTTGTTGACAGAGAATGGTGAACCTGAGTCTTATCCAGAGGCCTTAAGGATGAAAGATTCCATACAGTGGAAGACGGCTATGGAAGACGAGTTGAGCTCACTTGATAAGAATCATACTTGGTCCTTAGTCAAGCTCCCTTCAGGGAAGAAAGCACTGCAGAACAAATGGGTGTTTCGGGTCAAAGATGAGATTGATGGCAGTAAAAGATACAAGGCCAGATTGGTAGTAAAGGGTTTCCAACAAAAGAGGGGTGTTGACTACAACGAGATATTCTCCCCAGTTGTGAAGATGACTACAATCAGAATGGTCTTGGGAATTGTAGCCTCTGAAGATCTCCATCTAGAGCAGCTAGATGTGAAGACAGCTTTTCTCCATGGTGACCTGGAAGAAGACATCTACATGGCACAACCAGAGGGTTTTCCCACAGTTGGTAAGAAAAATCTGGTGTGCAAACTGAAGAAAAGTCTGTATGGATTGAAGCAAGCTCCAAGACAGTGGTACTTGAAGTTTGATAGCTTCATGCAAAGGAGTGGGTATCACAGATGTGAGATGGATCATTGTTGCTACTTGAAGAAATTCAACTCCTCTTACATCATCCTGTTATTATATGTTGATGACATGTTGATAGCTGGATCCGACATGCAGGAGATCAACAAGCTTAAGAAGCAGTTGTCCAGAGAGTTCGAGATGAAGGACCTAGGGACTGCTAAGCAGATATTGGGCATGAGCATAGCCAGGAACAGAGTTATCGGTACATTAAAACTTTCACAAGCTAAGTACATCAAGAAAGTTTTAGAAAAGTTCAACATGGCAGATGCTAAAGCCAGAAGTACACCTTTGTGAAGTCAGTTGAGACTCTCAAAGAAGCAATCCCCAAAGACGGAAGAAGACAAGAACCAGATGACTAAAGTTCCCTATGCATCTGCAGTTGGTAGCTTAATGTATGCTATGGTATGCACCAGACCAGACATTGCTCATGCAGTGGGAGTTGTGAGCAGGTTCATGTCAAATCCAGGAAAAGAGCATTGGGAGGGAGTAAAGTGGTTGTTACGCTACTTGAAAGGAACATCTGAGGTTGCCCTATGTTTCAGAAGAAAGGGTGTAATCTTGGAAGGGTTCGTCGATGCTGATTTGGGTGGATGTGTGGATTCAGGAAAGAGCACAACAGGTTATGTGTTCACAATTGGAAGTACATCAATCAGTTGGATGTCCAGGTTACAAAAGAGTGTTGCTCTCTCAACCACAGAAGCAGAGTATATGGCTATTGCAGAAGCAGCCAAAGAGCTTATATGGTTGAAGAACTTTCTATCAGAACTTGGAATGCATCAGGAGGATTGTGTATTGCATTGTGACAACCAGAGTGCAGTTTACTTGGCAAAGAATCCAGTGTTTCATAGTAGAACGAAACACATTCAGATGAGGTACCATTTTATTCGAGAATTAATTAATGACGAAACTCTAAATCTGAAGAAAATCCTTGGAACGAAGAATCCAGCAGATATGTTCACCAAGGTGGTTACCACTGAAAAGTTGAAGCTTTGTATGGCTTCAACTGGCCTTTCAGAAGATTGAGAAAAAGGCATGGCAGAGAACGAGAGAGAGAGAAAGTGCTTAAGGAATGTTGCAAAGTTTTTTGAATGACAGAGAAAGAATAAGTCATTTAAGTCTCCAAGTGGGAGATTGTTGGGCTAGTGAAGCCATAAATGACAAAGTTTAAGGGCCAATATTGTAACTTGACAAATTAAACAATTGAATTGTTTAATATTTGTTTATTGGACGCAAATGGACGCACTATCAAACTTTCGGTGGAATTGTTTAATGGACAAACGACTTTCGGTGCAATTGTTTAATGAACAAACGACGCACTATCACAATTGTGATTTTATCAATTCACATATGTGTGAATGGAAGAAAAAAGGTTACGGCTCAAACAATCTATAAATATTCATTATCTTCATTCGTAGCACAACACACAACAACAAATACTCAAGTTTATATATATACACAGAAAAGAAATTAGTGAGATATTATTTTTGTGCAGAGCCTTAATTTTTGGCAGCCAAAAATTACGAGTGATATCTTACAGTGAGTGATCAGATTACAAGGGCAGATTTTAGCCTTGTATGATTGTAATTTTCTTTAGTGTTAATAAAATCCCCTCTCTCTCGTTCGCCCGTGGATGTAGGTCAGATTAGACCGAACCACGTTAAATATCGTGTTCAATTTCGTTTGCAATTTTTCAGTAGTTTTATTCCGCGAGTTTTGCCGAAATCATTTATCAATTTTTCAGAAGTGCTTAACTTGTTTTGTTGCATTCCCAACACATCCTCCACGTACACTAAGTAGGTTGCTCTTTCCTGTTAATGGACATCTTCTAGGAAAAGTCGTATTTGATCCAGAGATGTCCCCACTAGAGTTATCAATGCCCCTGATTGTCCTACATTTTTGTCATCTGAAATTGAAGGCATTGTGAAAATCCAACCAATGGTATGTGTTGAGGAAAAGGTATTATGTAGCTTGGGCTGGAGTAATTTAGACTTCCTTAATGAAAGGCACTTGGGAACTAATTCTCGGGAATCTGAAACCCAGGTTTTTTTAGTTAATTTTTTTGTCTCTATGTGAATATGTATAATATGCTTCTTATGTTGATTAATTAAGGTGGTTGTATTTGGCAGATGATGATTTATGAATTTGGAATATTCACCACAATGTATGAGGGGGAGGAGATGCCGAGTTGGTTTAGGCATAGAAGCATGGGGCCATCAATATCATTTACCATCCCATCATCATCATCTCCAAACAAGCTCCTTACAGGACTTAACTTCTGCTTCTCTGCTGACACATCGATATATCCCGGTGAGCGTTTTCCAGTTTCATTTGGTCAGTTCTCTTTGTCGCCAATGATGACAATTAGTAATATAACAAAGAACCGCACGTGGATATACAAACGTTACTTCAACAAATTTAATGTATGTGGAAAGTGTTGGGTGATGTTAAGTCATTGGATGTTTGGAATGAATGAGATGGAGGCTGGTGACCACATTACTGTTACTGTTACTGTTACAAAGCCAGATGACGAACTTGTAAAGCAATGTGGGGTGAGTCTTGTATATCAGGATGATGGAGAGAAGGAAGAAGATGTATTGGGTTATTACAAGTCATGGAATCACATAATTGGTGGGGATCTCTCTCCTTTTCAAACAACAACCACCGGAGAATACATCCTACACAACGAACAATTTTTTATGTATGGCATTAGATTGAATCCCTATCATCGTAAATTCATTCGAGACTGTCCCAACTTTCAAGGTAAAAGTCATTTTTATTATTGTCATGTATTATGTATTAGATGACCCATCACCCAACTTCTTTAAATAGATGGATAATAACCCCATTAAATTTTAATACATGGATCATAACCTAATTCTTTTAAACAAATCGATCACATGACCTAAATCCACCCATTTATTATTGATTTTATTAACCTCTAAGATAAGAGTTTCTTTTTATAAAATATAGAAAATAAAAAGCACTACTTTTATTTTTGATGAATTAACCCAAACACTGGTCAATCTAATGGATATAAATCAATTGATAAGTCTTTCGAGATGTTGGAATTTGGATCACATAAACTGTTTTCAAATGGATGTGTGTGAATAATGATTAACACGTTACTTTTTTTATCTGTTTTCAGAAAAAAAGCAACCATGGTTTAGAGCTTTATCCGGAAGGAAACCGTAAATTATTGGTCACACACATGAGGTATACTTTTTGAAACCGAAACCTTACTCTAGTCACATGTATAAAATGCATATACAACCAAACATGTTATCATGAAAGTTCTTGATTGGTCTATGACGTAATAAAATAAAAGGCCTTATAAGTTATAACCTTGTTATGGATGCATGAAAATGGCAACATCAAAATGTAGTTGGGGCATGAAATTTGTCTAATGTTCTTTTAAGTATTTACATGCAAAGCTCTAATTCTTAATCATGTGGACCTATGTCTTCATTTAGGGCTTCAATTTCAGTGTTTTTGGTTGTTATTACTTTTGTTTATTTTTATGTCAAATACATGATATTTATTAGGCAATTATTATCAATTATTTTTAATTGATTTCGAATATCAAATTATTGGCCATACCTGCGTTACTAGAACTCTTCTTATAAGACTTAATATGGATAACATTTAACCCTTCCAGATATATAGGTTTCTCTTTCTAACTTAATACATAATGGATAGCTTAATGGGCTACCTGTGGGAAGGGACAATTTATGTATTGAGATTTGAGTTTTTATCCCCACTACCATTTACCCTAAGTTTTAATATAAAATAAATATACCACCTTAATTTCCCTCACCTTTTTGCTTTGTACATTTCTAGATATTTTGTATAGTATCAAATTTTATATATTTTTTTAAAACTTATGAGATAATTTTTCATAACATTAAAATCTATTTTTTTCTCGTATTATGCTATAGTTATATTTGGTGTTTTATTAAATATTATGTTTACTTTACTCTTTCAAAAAAATATCATGTTTACTTTAAGTTATTAATTATGTTATTAATATTTTTATTTTAATTGTTTTAATATGATTATTTGTGATTTCTGTTTTAAATGAATACTTATTTGTTATTTACGCTTATTTATAGGGTTTCATGCAAAAAGTCTCCATTATTTTGGGAAAATATTTGATAAAGTCCTAATTTTTGTTTTTGAATAGATGAGTCTCGATTATTTAACATTTTGCCCAAATTAACGAAAAAGTAATTTTTTATTTTAAAAAGAAATGACATATTATGTGATTCTTCCAAAATAATGAGACTTTTCTGTTAAAAAAAACATTTAGGAGTTAATTAAAAGTTTTCCCAAAATAATAAGACTTTTCTGCATAAAACCCTTATTTATATACAAAAGGGTAAATATAGTCATTTATTCATATTCAAGACAGTTTATTTAGTTCAAAAAAGGAACAGTCTTTATATATATACAAACAATTTATCCAGACAAACATTAAATATTAATACTTATTCATCCACTTTATCCATAGAGGACCTGTTGAGGAAAAAAAACAATCTCTAAGCATGTAGATTCAAGAAAATATAACATAACATGTATATACTTCCAAGTGATTATCGGTTTTCATAGTATTTTGTATTTTGTATTTTGTAGATTCAAGAAAATATAAGATAACATATATATACTTCCAAGTGATTATCTGTTTTCATAGTATTTTGTATTTTGTATTTTGTCTCTGTATATTTATGTTATTTTTAAAATGTTCTTACTTTTCTTTTATTCGTAGGGCAAGGGGGGATCTTCAAGGTCTCGTCCTTTCATATGAATGTGTTTGAGAAAGAGAGGCTAAATCAATGAGTTATACCCTAATTTTCCAGAAGAATTTAATTAGAAAATTTAGTCATTGACACCTTTAGTATTGAGTCGTCTTTTTAGTTTTTGTTTTAATAATTGTATCTTTTTAAACATTCTGAAAATACAAGCCAATAATTTTATTTTCAAAATCATTTATCAAACGTAAATCTCATTGCCATAGAATAAAACCGTAAAACAAGTATCTCAAAACTCATAATATTTGATAACAAATAACAGTTTCATAATAAAATCAGAGTAAACTCCCTGGCTGATCAATGGTGGTGTATGCAATGCCATCAGCTCGAGCTCTTCCCTTTACTAGCTGAAGTACCTGAAACCAAAATTGAAACTGTAAACACGAAGCTTGGTGAGCTCCCCCAAACTACCACATACGATACAAAACACATATAACAAACAACATAACTATGGGACTACTCCCACTGCATCGGGACGAATCCCGACATCGGGCTTGCCCCGACACATATACAACAAAACATATATCATAACACATAACATAATCACATAATCTACATCGGGCTTGCTCCGGCTTCGGATCGAAGCCCGAAACAACAACATATAACACATAAACTAGCATACATCGGGCTTGCCCCGAAATACCTAATACATGTCATAATGACTAACTTACATCAGGCTTGCCCCAGCATCAGGCTTACCCCGGAACACCTAACACACAAACATGCATGAATCACAAAGACATCAAGCAAACATAACTACTTCTCGGGACCGCCCCGGCATCGGACCGAAGTCCGGAAACATATATAAACTGCATTGGGCTAACCCCGACATCGAGCTTGCCCTAGCATACTCTACTACTTAAACGGACCGACATTGGTGCCTTAAACCCGTTCCTACTAGAGGAAAACTCACCTCACACTGCTGAAGTCCCACTGACAAAACCCTAGCTGCTGGATAATAGATTCCCGAAGTCAACTAGGAATCAAGCCCAACATATGGCCCAATTTTCCAAATTGGGCCCAAACCTTTACATGGTCCCATTCTAAGGCCCAACCAAAAGTCCAGTCCATCATTTGGTATTTTTAATGGCCCAATATCTCATAATCACAAAGGCCCAAACTATGGCCCATCTGTGGTCTAATTTTCCAAATTGGGCCCAAACCATCATATGGGTCTTACCCTAAGCCCATCAACATATTCTAGTCCATAAGATTATTCTTGGATGGCCCATTAATAATCCAATTACCAAAGCCCAATGGAAAGGCACAAGTGAAATTAGGGTTTCATATAAAATGATGATTAGGGTTAAGTGTTTCTCACTTAACCCATTAAGGACTTAACCCACTAAGGACTTAATCCATTAATGACTTAATCCATTAAGTCCATTATTGCTTAGATTAATTTCTGCCAATGATTATTATTAATATTTCAAGTTATTAAATAATTCTCGTGTGTGTCTCGATAATTCTCAAAATTAGGGTTTTATTGGCATTAGGGTTTACAAGTCCCATTAGGGTTTCAAGCAATCCAAACGAATCAAACTCAACAATGCAAGCACACTGCCACCCGACGTGGCAGTCGGTGGCGGCAGGAGGCGGCAGCCACCACCCTACGGTGGTAGTTTGAGATTTCTATTATTATTTTGGCACCATTACAATGTACAACTTGATAATACACACACACTAATAATAACACACACGCACACACATAACCACCTTGTGGTAGCCGGCGGCGGCGGATAGTGGCAGCCACCACCTCACGGTGGTGGCGGTGGCTGTTCTTGGGAATTCCGGCTAGACAAAACACACATAACAATAGAAAATACACCCACACGTTTGATTTTCCCGGAGCAGGAACACATCCACCCTCTTGGTGGTGTTGACGACGGCAGAATCACGGAGAGGCGGCAGTGGTGGTGGTTCGCGATGATAGCCGGCAGTTTCTCTTGATTCCTAATCAAGCAAACGTACGTGCACACTCAAAAACATGATCTAAAGACCGAGACATCTCCAACTCAGGCACTACGGGTGGCAGGCGACGACTGGAAACCTAGAGACGGCGAACAACAGTGGTGGCTGCCCAAAACGGCAACCATAGGGCTCCCGGCGGCAACATTTGACGTACACAATGTTGATTCACCGAGAACAGTGAAGGAGAGGAGAGGGAGAGATGACAGATAGGCTCACCAGCGTTTCCGGTCACTCACGAATCTCGCAACAACATTTTCAGCTCGGTCGTCGGTCTTGGCGGCCACCCCGGCTGTACACATCGGTTCCGATAGTGGAGCTGCAACCGCGACAATCCCCAACGAAGCAGCGACGGATGAAAGAGTCTCAAAGGGTAGTGGCAGTTGGGGAAATCACGATCTAGGGTTAGGGTTCTTTGGCTGCACCCCTTTGACGAGAGGATAAGGGATCAGATATATCCCGTAACTCCAAACCAAACTACACTGCCAAAAATACACTTTTGGTCCTTCCTCCCTATATTATTTCCAGCATCAATCGGAAATTTACCTTTTAAACCCTGATCCAATAAATTCCTTTCATAATAGCTCCCTATATTACCAATAGGCCCTTTAAGCCTTCAAATCTTTTCAATTTAAGTCCATTAATTACCAATTGCACCCTGACTTCTGAAATCTTTTTCAACTTAAATCCCAAACTTACACTTTTAACCCCAAACTTCTAAAATTATAACAATTAACCCTCGAGAACAACACCTTCCTATATCATTACGGATTTTAGGGCTATTATTAATTTATTAATTTGCTCATTTATTTATTTAATAAACGGGGTGTTACATCTTTATTGTAAAAAACAAGGGAAAATCCTTATGAATGGTTTTTGAGTTGGTTAATATAAGCATCTAAGGAGTATTATAGAAATGGTCATGTTGTCTTGATTACTTAATATATTTGTTATTTTGGTGAGTTTACATGAATTAATTTCACAGTTGTTGCATCTCCAAGAATCCCCACCTTGAACAACCACCCAACCTCATTATTTGTTGAGTTGCATTGAATTTATGTTTGAGGGCATATATTTGTGTTTCTGGTTTATCTTTGGTTCAACTTCCAAGTATATATTTGATTTGGTATATGTTTGATTGCACATGAAGGTGCCAATATGTACTTGTTAAATTGTGGTATGGATATTAAATGGTTGCTCATATTGAGGACTTTAATTACCTCGTTCTTCTGTAGCTATGAATTGCAATGATTTGACTGTACTCTTTAAAAAATTGAGAAGTTATATTCACTTGCTTACATGTCATGCTACGATTAGAACTTGGTTAAAAAAAGATAACAGCAACTTGCATGAAATTTCTAGAGTAGCTACTAGCTTCCGTTGCAAAATGAAACACTTCTTGAATTGTATGTTATTTCCCCAATGATTCTTTTGAACACAATTATCAAAGTTGAACACTTTTAGAATTGTGTGCTATATAATTTCTGCCTATTTTCCCACGATTAAATGGGAATCTTGGTCTCTACCATTACCGATCAACAATCTCTATCGTAAATGCCTGGGCTCAAAATCTCAAATCTTTTATAGGATATGTAACTATATAAAATTGGCATACTCCAACTTAGTATTGGAGGCTCTAATTCAAAATATGAGAATTCTCTAACAATTGTGTTTTGAATTTTAAATGCAACACGTTTAGGCCTTCCTTTTTTATTCACATCACAAGACAACGGAATAATATCAGGACATTAATCCATATTTTTTTTCTCTTTACTACCTCTATATCTTTATTTTTACTATTGTTGTTAACAATATTTTTTTTTCTCTTTACCACCTTTATATCTTTATTTTAAGGGAGCTGATATATCCACGGACATTTTTGATATTTCCACAGATTTTTTATGTAAATGACAATTATGACCCTGCTTTATAAAAATAAAATGGATCCTTCTCTTTCCTGTCATGCCACAAGGAAATGTCATGCCACAAGGAAAAAAAACAATTGCCGAAAATATAACTTAGCTTTATTTAAATCCAGCTCCGTAGTCTAAACTAGGTGTAAGACCCATGTGTTACATGGGTTAATTAATAAAATTAAATATAAAGGTCTAAATATTTAAAAAGTTTGGATTTATAAGAACATAAGAAAAATAATGAATTATTAAATTTGATTTTTTTATATTTTAAATTTAAATAAATAAACAAAAACTAATGAGTTTTAATTTAGGAATTTTGAAATAAGAAGATAAGTCTATTAATGAAATTGATATTCATTTATTACTACATTTATTGTAGTTATTATATTAAAGTATTATGTAGAATTTATTAAAATAGAAAAACTTATAAAATGACATGTGGAAAAGAAATGAATTCAAAATAACCACAAAATGATATTTGTCAAATTGAATGAGAGAGTGACATGTGGCAAAAAAACCTTCATTTATTAGAGTAGATATATTCAATTTATCTTCCTTCTGTATCCTTCTCTTACCAAGGTACCATCAAGATACACAGGAAGTAACATGAAAAACTCTAAACATGAACCAAAAATTTGCCGGAGAAAAACCACGTTCGTCGGAGAAGGTCATCTACAAAGCTATTTTCAGTTTCAAAGTTATTTCTAGCTACAAAAAAACACCATTAGAGACAGTGGCGGAGCTTCAAAATTTCATTGGGGAGGGAGGGGGGGCATAGTTAAAATTTTATATTTTTGGACTAAATATGTATAAAGTTAAAGCATAGGGACTATTTATGCCAAAAAAATCAGAGGGGGGGGGGGGGGGGGCACAACCCCCTAGTCCTTGAAAAGATCTGCCCCTGATTACAGAGCACATATCAAAATAAGTTGTAGGTTGGCAAAATCAAGTTGTTAAAATCAAGCAAAATGCAAAAATCCATCACACGACACCATTAAAATCAAAATCAAAAAGCTTATGCCAATTTATTTCTCTATGCAGACTTTTGAAAAATGAATGATCCTTTTGCTCAATGCTATTTTGGAAGAATCGACTCTGAGTTTGACACAGAAACTGATTTTCTTACTGGATTTTTTTTGGCTTCTTTAACTTTCTTGCCAGAAG